TTACACACTGCTCAATATAGTTATTTCAGTCCATCGGGATGGATAGAGAATTGGGAGGATTACAGGCCCTTTAATCCAAACTCCCCAAAACCCAGTGTCAAAGGAGTTTGGATTGCATCCTAAACTGGGAAAACAAAAGGTGAACGAATTTAAGGTAATCCAATTCTGTTTAGTCAACATGCTGACTTGTGATGTCAGGAGATACAGAGATAAAGGATCAGTGTGTGAGAGAATGCTTTGGAACCACAAACAGTTTGGTCTTGGAAACTTTGAGTTTGAGGCAGCCACGAGACATCTGAATAAATATAATAGGTGGAGAATCAGACTAGACAGTGCAAATGTTGAATGTCTGTTCTTCTTCTGCCTGTCAGAAGAATCATCAGAACATAGAGCATAATGAAGTTGGGTTGGAAGGACCAATACAGAACAGAGACCCATACATTCGCTAGCAAGATAATATTTGACAAGGATGCTATAAATAGACTGCAGAAAGAGGAGGGCAGACAATAGTTGGAAGCAAGACAGTCAAAGTGAAAGGATTTACGGCATGTCTCAGGCCTGTGGTGGTTAAGAAAAGTATACAAATCAGCCAGAGGTTAGAAGAGTCCAGGGATAGGTTATCCATCCCCTCCAAAATGGGGGAAGAACTTGGAATGTTTGATAAGGAATGAGCTGGGGATGGGGAGAGTTATAAAAGGAGAATCATGGTAGCGGTTAAGATGGAGTAGGGTGAAAGGGGAGAGTAGCTGTCTTCTCAGAGGATAACTGATGGGGAAGGAGGAAAGGAACAATGGAGAACGAGGTGAGTGCCTCAGCAGAAAGTGAGGAAGAGTTGGAAAGGTAGACCTTAGATGGAGAAGATAGGCCGGGTGTTAATTAGAGTGGTGTAATTATGTTGCTTTGGTGGGGAGGATGGCATAGGAGAGGAGACTGGGTGAACTGCACTCTCCTTTATTTAGACTGTAATTAAATTTTGAACATAAATATCCAATTTGTTGGCCTAGTAATTTTGTTTGCCAATCCTAAACCTTGTTTCAAGTGTGTGTGCTTTTTATTTAGAAATAATAATGCATCTCTTTGTGAGGTATTTCCTAAGTATCTTGTATTTTTGCAAGTATAATCCTGAGTTCCCCCCAGTGCATGTTCAATTTAATGGTGTATTGGCATAGTAGCCCATTTTTCTAATTGCTTTTTAAAAAGCGATAATTTGACTGTTGTATGTAGCGGTTCTCCAAAGATAGATATTATTAAGGTGATGAACAGCTCTGTTTGGCTTTATGCTTATCAGTAACCTTTACTCATAATGTGATATTGTCTGAATGTCTTATTTTGTTCAGCTTTCCCTAGCCCTGATGAAGCCTTAGGCTGCTGTTTCTTTGAGTTACTGATAATTTTTTATCTGATTAACTGACACATTTAGTTGAAATCAGACACAGCCCTTAGGCTGGGCATGGATTTAATTTAAAAAGTATCAAAGGTTTGCACTGTGTGCTGTTTAATCATCATGTTTATCAGGCAAGGAAAAATTACCGGAAGGACCATAGGGAGAGGGTTATCTTAAGGAGCAGTAGCTTGGGAAATTGACAATAACTACAAGGTAATTTACTGCTAACTTTCACTTTCATTAATATAACATTTCCCACTAATAATTACAGTGCATGTAATATACTAATTAAATGGAAAGCATTATCACTAATTTTCTTCTTGCTGAACTCAAGGAATTGTGTAACAAGAGGATTAAAAAGCATGTGTAGTTATACTGTGTTTAATCCACTAGCAAATTGGGCAGCCCGTAGAATTTTGTTATTGCATTCAGTTACTTTCTTATAGCAGTTCTTATGGTCTGTATTTTGGAATTCTTCCTATTTGATCTTATTTGGCAGCAAACCATTGAAGCTCAACCTGGAACCTATTGAATCAACCTTTGTTGCCCTGATGGACTAGCAATGGGGGACTGTGTTTTGGCCCCAGGGTCTTCCTGCTGGCTTGTAGTCCAGGGTACAATATTGTCCTCAGTGCTGTTTTAATACAAAAGTGAAGCTACTGGGTATGCTCACTCAATGTTCAGGTAAAGTACAGGTAGTGGTTGGCACACAAAATACTATATGAACAAGTCAAGGTAGCAAAGCTTTCAGGACTCTTCATACAACCGCCGAACAGTTACGTAGTTCCAATTTTCAGCGAAGAAGGCATGTTATCCTGCTGCAGAAAAAAGAATAGACTCTTGTGACAAATTAAGTATACTCTGGTTATTTCCCACTTAGACTACTTTAATGTATTCTATGTGGGACTATCTTTGAAGGTGACACAGAAACTACAACTAACCCAGAATGCAGCAGCTAGACTGGTGACTGGGAATGGCTGCCAGGACCATATAACACCAGTCCTGAAAGACCTACATTGGCTCCCAGTATGTTTTTGAGCACAATTCAAAGTGTTGGTGCTGACTTTTAAAGCCCTAAACGGCCTTATCACTGTACAGCTGAAGGAGCGTCTCCACCCCCATCGTTCAGCCTGGACACTGAGGTCCAGCTCCGAGGACCTTCTGGTGGTTCCCTCACTGCGAGAAGTGAAGTTACAGGGAACCAGGCAGAGGGCCTTCTCGGTATGTATGTAAGCAAGAACCATAGAGTTAGAAGGGACCATGAGGATCATCTAGTCCGGCCCTCTGCAATGCAGGAATCTTTTGCCCAACACCCAAAGCCCCGAATTAAGAGCCTTATGTTCTATTGACTGAGCTATCCCTTGTTAAGGTAGTGGCACCCTGTGGAAAGCTCTCCCATCAGATATCAAGGAAATAGACAGCTTTATGACTTTTAGAAGACATCTGAAGACAGCCCTGTATAGGGAAGTTTTTAATATTTGATGTCACATTGTGTGTTTATATTCTGTTGGAAGCTGCCCAGAGTTGCTGGGGCAGTCCTGTCAGACGGGGTACTACTACTACTACTAGCCTACACTTTTGTGGACTTGGTTTTCAGTTGCTATCCATGTTGTCAGTACTTTTGAGGCTTGATAGCACTGGCATCATGGTACATTTGATTGACATCCTATGCCCTTATAAAATGTGGGTTTTTGGGGGCGGGGGTTATTGGGTTGTTGTTTTTATTTTGATTATATATTTTGTGGTTTTATATTTTGATTTTATTTTGTGAAACACCCAAGGACCTCCGGGTATAGGGCAGTATATAAATTCTAATAATAATAATAATAATAATAATAATAATAATAATAATAATACATGAATGTACCCTTTCATAACTTTTCCCACACAAAATAATACTATGTCACTATGGTTACTGTTCTGCACATTCACTGCTGCTTATCTGAAAGGGTTCTGCTCTGTAAATTTTGAAGTGCATGCTACATCTTTGTTCTGAGGAGATCACATCAAACAAGCAACCATCCCCCTTCCCCCCAAACTGCAATGCTGTGGTGTTACCATGATGACTGCGGAATACCATGCATTTAACTTAATGGTACTAGTGGTTAATGAGTTGGACCTGTGTGTAACAATTTAAGATAATCCTGTAGATATTTATAATGTGTATTTAGCCGCCGCCTTAAGCACTACAGTCAAGTAATGAAGACGATCACTACTTAAAGCAATGCCTGCTTTTTCAAGTTTAGAAAGGATAGGTTTTTTTTCCTTAAAAAGAAATAGACTTTTAAACTTACAGCTACTTTCAAAATGTGTTGTACTAAGTTTTTAAGACACTGTGGGTTCATTCAGTGATGAAGAGACTAATATAGCTACATATTTATTGTTAAAATATTACTAGAATACTGGAGATGCAGTAGATAATGACTTACTGGTATTTAAGCATTGCTATTACTATGTCCAACTCAGGGCGGGGGAGATAATTTATGTATCATAGCTCAGGGTTGGTGAACTTTTTTGACTCAGTGGGCCAAATTTGACATCTGGGCAATATAGTTGATATGTTGGCACCTGTCACTCACATAGCACCATTGAAGCTTAGCTGGATGTTAGCAATGTAATGCAGAATACATTGCCCTCCTACCTTATCTAACAATTCCTTCGGGAGGGAGCTAAACAACTGGGACACCACCCCTGAAACTTTCCGGTTTTAAGTCTTTGCTTACCACACCTCTCAAGGCAGTGGAATGCAAAACAGGGCATAATTGATGGGTAGATTCATATGAGAGAAGTCAGTCATTTGAATGCCCTGGTCCGGGGCAATTTAGGGCGTTATAGCTAATGACCATCACTAGGGCTGGGTGATATCTGGTTTTTAGCATCATGATATATCACCAGTTAATCATCAAGATATACTGATATATCATGAAGTCTGAAATAAGAATGCAGCTATGTAGAAGTAGTGGCTGGCTTATGGTTTTTCCTATATTGTCATTTTTGCCACTGCCTACTCTTGTGATTTGCTACCTCTTGTAGGAGGTGGGGAGAGCTGAGCTGATGGAGTTAACAGGGGCTGCAGGAATCGAGAGAAGCTTGGGCTGGCTTCACGGTTTTTCAGTATGATTTTTGCATAGGACACACAGAAATCATGGTTATTGATATATTGCCAGGTCAAAAATTATGAAACGGGTATCACAATATGGACTTCAAACTGGTTTGTGATGATATATCAATATGTCGCCCAGCCCTAACCAGCACTTTGAACTGGGCCCAGAAATAAAACTGGAGATGGTGCTAATTAAAGAAGACTGGGGTAAGATGTTTAGAAAAGTAGATAGCAGAAATTCATCTAGCTGCAGCACTGTTGTGGATATCAGTAGCTCCCAATGATTGCAAAGGCCAACATTTTTGTGACTTATAGCTCTGATATGGGCATCATTTGTATGTAGGGCTATTGGCAGGGTAGGTGGGCAGAGTTGTGTCTCTGATTATGGACTTCAGTTGTCATGTTTTTCCCTTTTCAAACCTAAGGCTGAGTGAAAGTCAATACAATCCATGTTATTGGATACGTCATTAACTTATTTTTTTCTGGTTTTTATGTGTATCTCTTCCATTTCAGGATGAGGAGGGTGTGGAAGGTGTTTCTGTAGGGGCCATTCTTTCAGACTACCAGCGGGTCCGTGTAGAAGATGTGTAAGTAAAATTACTCTCTGTGTTACAATGCATAGTAAGCAACTTGTAGAAGCACCTTTAAGCTAAGTAAAGGTAAAGGTACCCCTGCCCATTCGGGCCAGTCTTGCCAGACTCTAGGGTTGTGCGCTCATCTCACTCTATAGGCCGGGAGCCAGCGCTGTCCGCAGACACTTCCGGGTCACGTGGCCAGCGTGACAAGCTGCATCTGGCGAGCCAGCGCAGCACACGGAAACGCCGTTTACCTTCCCGCTAGTAAGCGGTCCCTATTTATCTACTTGCACCCGGAGGTGCTTTCGAACTGCTAGGTTGGCAGGCGCTGGGACCGAGCAGCGGGAGCGCACCCTGCCGCGGGGATTCGAACCGGCGACCTTTCGATCGGCAAGCCCTAGGCACTGAGGCTTTTACTCACAGCGCCACCCGCGTCCCTATACCTTTAAGCTATTGTTGCTTTTAATAAAAAAACTAGGATTGCAGAAAAACCATCCAAATTTGAAAAAGAAATATTAAGATTTAGAGTTTAAAAATTATCTAAAATGTATAGGATACTATTAGATTGAGAAACTAAAGAAGAATTTGTGAAATCATCTGTGATCAAATGGGCACAAGAGGTGGGTCGTAATATTGATCTGAACCTGTGGGAACATTTGTGGAAAATAAATTTAAAATTCACTGCTATTTATGCATCGAAAGAGAAGTGTTTAATAATGGCCCACTTGACGCCAAGTAAAGTAGCTAAAACAATTAGAACTAAAAATGACCTATGCTGGAAATGTAAAGAAACAGTTGGCACATTTTATCACTCATGGCAGATCTTGGTGGAATATTAAAAGAATTGAGGGAGATGGTTTATAACGAATTTAATAAAATGTTTAAAAGAACGTTTCCTAAAAACCCAGAAGCTTTCCTTCTGGGAATAATAGCAGTAGAAATACCAAAAAAGCAAACTAATCGATGGATGTATGCGACTACAGCTAGTAGCACAAAATTAGAGAACTGATGTAGTACCATCAAGAGAAGAATGGCACCTATAATATATAGAACTTGCCAGCATGACAAATAGATTAAAAAATAAAAATGGTAAGAATTTAAAAGAGGACTAGACATTATATACAGAATATATGCAGAAATATTATAACAAGAAAATGAGTGTAACAGACTGAAAAAAATAGTACTCAGCAGTAGATGTGACACAGTGTAAGATATGAAAATAATTTAGTAGAATAAGAAAACGCAGTCAAAAAGACAACAGATAGGAAACCAGAGAAGAGTAGAAGGGAAGTTAAAATTAAGGTTTATAAGAGTCAGATAAATTGGAGGAATAAGTTATGTTGTTGTTATTATTATTATTATTATCTCTTTCTTACTATTATGTGTCTGACTGTAACATATAATGCATTGATGATATGATAAAACAGAAAAGCAAATATATATATTTTAAAAAAGGGTTGTGTAAAATAGAACATGAATTGCAACATGCTATTTGTATATTGGTTTTTCTTTTCTTTGTGTACTTATCTACATTGAATGTGAATTAAAGCTGCGGTACAATTCTTCTAAACTAGCCAACATAAAATTGGGAAAGAGCTATAATCCTTCCCATTTTTTACTGTTTTTGTTGGCTTGCATATTTGTATTGTTTTGCCCATTGGCTACTTTGCTTGGAGTCAGTGGGATGTTTTTGAGACTCGGGTAAAAATGGTCTGCTTGAGGATGAAAGGTCTGATTGGACAAATATCACTCCTCTAATTGGGGAAATACTGCAGTGCATGCTTTTAATATACACTTTGCTTGTAAAGGATTGTACCTGGGATGTAGTTGGAATTTTTATTCTTTTTGTCTTTTTTCTCTATGCCTGTAAGATGCTGCTGTCAGATTAGAATGGGCTCTTTCCGATGCAATGAGCAGATTCATCTGCCATAACATATACTAAGCCTATGGTTTTCAGTAATAATCTGACAAATTTCTGCTTAAAATATCTCCATTAGAGGTGCATCCAATTTTTTGTGTGGCCCACACTTCACCTTTCTGTAGCTTATATTTATATTCTGTCCATCTGCTTCCATTTGAGTGAAGAGGAAGGTGAGAACCATTGTAGGCTATTGCAGTCTATGCCTGAGCAGCAGCAGTTTTGGCATAAGGTTCCCCTATGGACATATAGATGCCCTCCTACGAGTGCAGGTTTTCACTCCTGGTGTAATGAGTGAAGAAATAAGCGTGGAAACCTATGGAATTGTTTCTTTAACCTGTGATGGTACTTATTGTCATTTAAAAATTAAGTACTGTTTATAGCAGGAATGGAGGACCACTGACCTTCATCATGTTTTTGGTCTCCATCTCCCATTAGTCCCAGCTAATATGGTCAATATTCAGGGATTGCAGAAGTTGTAGCCCAACGTCTGAAGACCTCTGGTGTCAGAACTCTGACTTAAAGTTTCAGGCATATTAAATGCCTAAAATGTATTGAGCAGTGTTTGGGGGGGGGGAGGTTTCTGCACTATCTAAGGAATATGGAGTGAAAAAAGGGAAGAATAAAAGGAACTGCATTATGCAGATTTTTGATGGTAAGAAAATAAATTTAACTAAATACGATAAAAAGTTAGAAGCCAGTGGGGAGAGAGACGCAGCATAAATATGATCACAGAACAGGCGAGAAAAATTCAGCAAGCAGCGCCGTCCTCTATGAAAACTTAATAAAGAAAGGTAGGAAATGGTATGACCAATTAAATGCAATACTCAAGGCAATATAGGCAATATAGAACAAAGACTTGGCTTGATATTTTGTTAGTTGCAAGAGACAGTAAAGGGCAAGTTTTTGAATTGTATACATGTGATTAGGAAAACCAAAAGTGGTAATGACACTCCTTGTACCTGATTAGAAGACTGAAGAAGGATTAGTGGTGGTTCACACATCATGATAAGCTAGGTTTGCTTTGTGCACACTGCTCGGATTGGGTCCACCCTTCCTTACTTTGCTGTGCTGGAATGAAATGAAGCATGGCCCCAGCTTAGTGCTACACACAATTTGTTTCTCTCCAAACCATGAAACAAAGCCCAAGAGAAGCCATGTTGTGTGCAGTCTACGTAAGGGTGGTAGGAAAGAATATGAGGGAACAAGTGGGAGAAGCCCTTCCATATGCTACTTGTGTGAAGGTGTCTAGAGAAGGCAAGTTCAGTAGAAAGGAACAAGAGCAGGATCTGTGGAATAGCAGCGAAAAGCAAAACCAAGGGATTTAAAATTAGGGAAAGCGGGAATACCAGAAAGAACATAAATCAAGAGAAAATAGAACCATGCCCCAAACAGCCAATGTTAAGGGGTGTGTGTGAGAGAGAGATAAATTGATTTGAAACTGAAGAGCAATAACAAATAGAAGGGAAAATAAGTGGCAGCACCTGAGGTGAGCTCCACAATGGCGTGTCCCGACAAGGGAAGCTCCCACGTTCATTTCAATGAACAACACCAGTTTGCATGCACATTCATTTCTGTGTATGAATTCCTCCAAGGTATATAGCAGTTGTTCCCAATTAGCTAAGTACTGTGGAACCCCTGTTGTTCAAAAGCCAAGCCATGGACCTCCTACCTTTTGAAAATGTTGATACATCTGTGGTAGTTTTAGTTCTGTGAATGGCACCACCATACCCTACAACATGTTCCAGCGCAAAACCAGGAGGCACGTCTTCTGTTGCACGAGTCACGTGACCTGTGCGAGTGCACAGTGTCCAAAACCACATGTTTTTAGGCACCACAATCTCATGTGAGGGGTGTTTCTGGCCACAATCTCACGTGTTCTGGGACACTGTGCTCTCACACGAGAGCATGGCCATCCAAAATTGGATGTTCCAGACACTTGATGGGTATGTGTCTTAGACCCCATGGGTGGGCTGTGTGGCCCCTCTGGGGTCTGTGGACCACCAATTGGGTATACCACTGGTATGTAGAATAGACTTGGTAGGTTTACAAGGGGTGTGGTTCTTAGGTTTTGATGTCTTAGTCCTGATTTAACCTGTTTGATGGTTATATTGTCAGTTAGTAGTTTGTACATGTGCTTTGTGGTAATTAAGCATGATTTTAGTTTAGTAATGTGATGGTAGCTCCTGTGGCCTCTTATGGGAGAAAATGTACAAATTCACACATTCACTTACACAAATATGAGTTCCATTCAATTCAGCTGGTCTTATTTCTACTTCTTATAGTAGCAGATGTTGCTGGAAGTGCAGTCTCCGCTTCTTCCTTTTACTGATGCAGAAGAAGAATTTGTTGGTGGAACATTTTCTTCAAGCTGTCTTAAGCTTCTGAAAACATTTCACAGTTTGAAATATTTTGGTTGTAGTTACTGTAGGAAGTGTGAGATACATAATTGCATAACCATTTTACAAATAGACAGGACCTTTTCAATGGCCACACCAGCACTAGCTGTTTATTTCTGGAAATGTTTAAACTTTCTGTAAAGTTGCCTCAGAAATAGCTTATACATACCTATATAAAAAAGTACACAATTCAATGCAGTTGTAAAAACCCACCTGCGGTATAAAATAGCAGAACCAGCAAATGAAAGTAGAAAAGACAGCTGAAGTACTACATAAAGCTCAGGAGAATAAGGTGGATTTCACCTGGCATGTGAAATATAACAAAATTGGCACCAGTCAAACATGTCTCTGCCATTCCAAAATTTGGGTGCCACCACAGAAAAGGTTGTCTTCAGTAGCCATCCCCCTACTTCAGAATGGCAGGCACTTGGAAGATGACACAATTGATGGTAGGTTCACGTGAGACAATGTGGTGTTTCAGATGCTTCAGACGAAGGCAGTTTAGGGCTATGGAACTATCTCGCTAGAGACTCATCAGGCAAGCTCCATGTTGATTTTTCAAAGGCAAGTGAGGACATATTTTTAAGGAATTCTTTTAGGGAATGATTCTGGCCATTTGGTTGTCTTTTAAACTGTGCATAAGAACATGAGAAGAGTCTGCTGGGTCAGGCCAATGGCCTATCTAGCCCAGAATCCTGTTTTTATAGTGGCAACTAGGCAACTTATAGAAAGCATGAAAGAAGGATCTGAGCACAACAGCATTCTCTGCACTCGTGACTGGCAACTGGCAGTAGTCAGGGTCATGCCACTTCTGACAGCGGAGGTGAAGCATGGCTATACAGTAGTACCTCTGGTTAAGAACTTAATTCATTCTGGAGGTCTGTTCTTAACCTGAACCTGTTCTTAACCTGAGGTACCACTTTAGCTAATGGGGCCTCCCGTTGCTGCCGTGCCGTCACAATTTCTGTTCTCATCCTGAAGCAAAGTCCTTAATCCGAGGTACTATTTCTGGGTTAGCGGAGTCTGTAACCTGAAGCGTCTGTAACCCGAGGTACCACTGTACCGGTTAGTAGGTATTGATAGCCTTAACTTCCAGGAATTGGTCTAAAAACCATTCAAGCTGGTGATCATTACTACTTCTTATGAGAGCAAATAGCTGTGGACATATATTTTTTAGTATTATTCTGAAATTGTAATTATGGATTGGATGCTGTGTTGCTTGTTGGAGGCTGCCTAGCCACAGCACAGGATATAAACTGTTCTCTCTCTCTCTCTCTCTATCTGTATGAAATAAAATGAAATAAAATATGGAAGTAGTAACTTGACTTAAAACACTGGCCAAAACACAACTACTTCAGTGAGCCCAGTAAAGTTTCAGACTAAAGTATTTCTAACAGCATCTTCTGTGCTGCATGGCAAATTGAATTGGGAGAAGTTTAAAAAATGTATGCAACATGGTTCAGGGAACTGCTGGTTAAATGGGGAGAAAACTTAAAAATAAAAAAACACCAGGTGTATTGAAATTGCTGAGTATTCCAAAGGTAAGTCTTTGGATCCCAGCCCACGTTTCCACTTAAAAATAAATAAATGAATGAACAAAATATATAATAAAGGAAGTTCCAATTTTACTAGATGGCAGAACCATTAAAGCTTTCCAATTTATTTTATAACAAAATTCACTTTATGCTAGACTTCATGCTATTTTATATTATTTTTGCTAGAAAACGGAACACGCTTCTCCATCCCCATACTTCATAATCTTACACTATTAACTTCACTAGAGTGAGTAATCCTGTTTAAGTCAATAGGGCTATTCACAGTAATAACACTAAAAACCTATGTTCTTGTTTATTAGTTCAGTGTCTATAGAAGGGAGATGTATGTTGTGTGTGCGTCTAGTGTTTCAACTGACATTACTTTTATTCAGAAATGTCTATGTATCCCTTGTTTAAAAATGTGCTTGTTTACTAGATAATTAAGTTCTTACTCATGATTTGTCGTTTTAAAATAGAACATTGAATTCCATTTTAAAATCCCCAAAAGTAGGGTTTAAAAATTTTGTTTATTGAAATAAGGTGTACTTGAAATACGTTGAATACCTACAACAGTAAAAAGAAACACAAATAGGAAATTGGAACCTGAGAAACAGAACATACCACTGGTTGGTATAGCTATTAGGTTCAATGTATTTGATATTGGCAATTTCCTGCACCTTGATTCTTTAAGGGAAATCTGTTAGCAGGGCTCAGCTGTGTTAGCTCATTATAAAATTATAATGGTTGGATCCTGGCATTCCCTGCACTGGTGGTAGAATCTCCTAGGTGTTTTGCTAAGGACACTTCCACTGGCCAAAAGTGGAAGGCGATTTTTGCCAATTGTCCGTTCACCCGTAGGACTCAGTCCCTCCCATACTGTTCCCTCCCATACTGTCTCCTAATCCCCTGGAGCAAATTTCCAGGTGGAAGGAAGAATTGACAAAAATTGTATCCTCTCCCATTCCACAAGTGGGATTTCTTCTAGATTCAAAGCCTTCCGGCAGCCAACCTTCCATTTGCAGAAGGCAAAGTCTAGACCCAGGCTATTGAAACAGCATTATTAAATTTATGATCGGTTTCCATATCACTTTCATGAATACAGTGTTTAATTATGAGGAGTTTTAAAGGACTTGAGACCTATTAGAGTGCATTTAACATGTCTGTTATTCTAGAATCTCTATTTTCCCCTCCACATTTTCAATGCAGGGATGTTTTTCAGGCCTATTTCTTAGCCTATTGTGCTGCAGACTGTTCACAAAATTGTTCTTTATCAAGATCTAGCGGTGCATTATTTGTGAGCTTGGCTGCTTAACCGGGAAGGGTTTGCTTTAGGTCTCTTCAATTCATTTAATATTTTTTTTTGTACGCTTCTAAATATATAATTGTATGGGTGTTGTTGCACATTTACAATGTGTAAAATAAAAAGCCAACCTTGAGAAGAATGCATCCTACTAGACAAAGAGAAGATAAGAGCATTGCATTTTCCCTATTTTATATAAATCCTTGTCTCTAACAATACAGGCTTCAGGAACCTAAGCCCATCCTTTCCTGCGGTGCTTTGGAGTGAATTGTCTAAATATGTGTATCAGTTAAGCTGAACAAATATTGCTTAGTACAGTGATCCCAAGTGGTATTTAGTATTCCAGTGATATTTTGAGTACATATAAGGCTAAATTATAAATGTTGACTTTATTACTTGGAAAATTGGCTTCATTCAGGTGAATTATAATTAATAGATTTTTGGCGTAGACAGTCCTTAAGGGGTATGCTGACTTTATCTTATTCCCCCCTTTTAAAAAAGCAAGAAATTGGTTTCGTGACTATATAACTTTCCTTGGACCCTCTGATTTGTTAGGAAACTGTCTGCCAGGGCACACTTGCTGTTTTAGAGTTATCCACAGGAAAACAAATTGTGTGTCAATAGGTGTTCGTGGAGTAGGCAGTTGATGAGCAGTTTCCTTCTGCAGTTTCTGAGAGGCACTGAAAGTAGCCCTACTCATTCATACCTGACTTCAAGTACTCAAGTTCTTTCCCTTCCATTTTACCCTCATCACAACCCCATGAGGCAGGTTAGGCTGAGAGGTAATGAGTAGTCGAAGGTCACAAAATGAGCTTCATGGCTAAATAGAATAAAAGCCAGTATCTTCTGAAAAGAGGCTATGGGAGGTCCCATTTAAGGAAAGGGCAAAGAGCAGCAGTTACTCTCTTTCCCCTGAGAACCAAAACAGAATGAGGATTTTGCAAGTGAATGTGTCCCTGTAGATCCAAAGCAGGTCCACTTTGAAAGCTGAAATAGCTAAGAAATTGAAGAGCAATAATGACCCCAAAGATTCATGTTGTGTTTCCATATTTAAAATTCAAAATGATATGGCCAGATGCCCTTGATTACACTATGGGTGATATACAGTGTTCTCCTCAGCGTAGATCTTATGAAATCAGTGGACTTCAAACACTTTCATCCATTGATTTCAGTGGCTCTCTTCTGTGACTTAATTGGATATCACCCTCTATTTTCCATAAAACCACTTGACATCTTCCTTCTTTAGTACCACGGATAAGTAAATGGATGGACTATCATAGGTTAAAAGGTAACAGTCTTGGAAAATATCCAGTGCTTTCACAAAATGTTTAGGGGTATGCGTCCCCCCCGAAGAAAAGCACTGGAAATATCTATATCTGATTGCAGAAGGCCATGAGGAATTTGGTTAAAGGTTTAATAGTCTGGGTTTGGGTGCAAGAGCATAATAACAGCCATTTTTTCCCTTTGTTCAAATAGGTGCAAGAGGCTTACCCTGCAACCATTGGCTTACCTTTGGCGTCAGAACCAGGAAACTTTGCTCAAAGAAATGATCTCCTCGAACCTTCAAGCTATAATCATAAAAGTAGCAGCTTTTGGTAAGAATCTGAACTAGAATAGTTACTAAGGTGAAGCATGTTTGATGTTTTATTTTACTTCTATGTGTGGGAAGCCACTCAGAGTGGCTGGAGCAACCCAGGCAGATGGGCGGAGTATAAATATTATTATTATTATTATTATTATTATTATTATTATTATTATCACTAGTTGGTTTTACTAAAATAGAAATAGAGAAAACATGCATACAGTAGATAGCTATGGAGACACCAGAATCTGTTTTGTGAATAAGATGTAGCTGGTAAAATAAAACTGTAGCAAGCAGAGGTGAACCATGGAACAGAAAAATGAAGAACTTCAGTTCCATGACTATATATTTAAACAATTAATTGAACTTCTCTGTGATAAATATTTTTCACACTAGACAGTGAAAAAGCGAGAAGCTATTTTCATAGCCATCATTATTAAGTGAGTGTGTTTTTCAATAAAGGTTCATACATAATGCAACAGTTTACAGTTCGCTCATATGAGTGATACAAATGGATGGCTTGACACTGGACCATTATCTCTATAAAGTAGAATCGACTTTGATGAAAGGGTTTAAGTAAAAACTTTACTAACAGCAATCAATATATAACTTTGCAACTAATTAGTGAGAGGCTGATGGCTCACACCTGCTTTTGTTGTAGATGCCTCTCTTCCTGCTGATTCAATGCTACCCTCTCCAGTTCTACCTGTCTCCTATCAGATTGTTCAAATGGCTATTTTCCCATTCTTCCTTAAGGAGCAGGCAAGGGGAACCCAGTCAAAGGTTGTTGGTTTTTCTTTTTATGCAGTTGCACTTTTGGCTCTGCTAGTACTTGGGTTCAGGGCATTTGTTTTTGCTCACGGCAAATTGAAAATTTGAATGTAAGTCTAAAACATATTTTGAACCTGGTACTCTGCAGATAGACAGCATCTTAAAAAGCAGAGACATCAAAAGGTCCGTATAGTTAAAGCTATGGTTTTCCCAGTAGTGATATATGGAAGTGAGAGCTGGACCATAAAGAAGGCTGATCGCCAAAGAATTGATGCTTTTGAATTATGGTGCTGGAGGAGACTCTTGAGAGTCCCATGGACTGCAAGAAGATCAAACCTATCCATTCTGAAGGAAATCAGCCCGGAGTGCTCACTGGAAGGACAGATCCTGAAGCTGAGGCTCCAGTACTTTGGCCACCTCATGAGAAGAGAAGACTCCCTGGAAAAGACCCTGATGTTGGGAAAGATGGAGGGCACAAGAAGAAGGGGATGACAGAGGACGAGATGGTTGGATAGTGTTCTCGAAGCTACCAGCATGAGTTTGACCAAACTGTGGGAGGCAGTGGAAGACAGAAGTGCCTGGCGTGCTCTGGTCCATGGGGTCACAAAGAGTCGGACACGACTAAATGACTAAACAACAACAACAACAACAAACTCTGCAAATGTTTTGGACGGCAAGTCCTGTGGCCGTGTTGTTTGGGACTGATGGGAATTGTTCTCCCAAGTAGAATCTGGAGGACACTGGGCTGGAAAAGGCTGGGCTAAAATAATTATTTACAGTAGCATATAAAAAAAGGTCACTGAACATGTGTCTGCATACAGGGAAGTGTGTGTCTGAAGGTGTTTAGGAAAGTGCAGTTTCACTATCGCATTCCGAATCAATACACTGTTTTACTTTCATTGGACGAATTGTAATTTTAACATTGAGCTCACCTATTATGGAAGATGGTTTTGACCGGTCACAAAGATCTGTCTAAGCACTGTATTGAAGCTGCATTTATTGAATGGCATGTGGGTTCTCTAACCACACAAACTGATGAGAAAAATATTAATAGGCCAATGCATCATTTTGAAATTACAGCCCTCTGAGCAATCTTTCACATAAAAGTATTAGATGAGGGTTTAGGTATAAAATTTGAGAGAAGGACCTTTTCCCTTTGGGGGTCAGTAGAGGTTTGTGGCCCATTAGACCAAGGAATGACCAGTATAATAGGAAAGAATATGTTCTACATGGGTGGATAAAAATATATTTCTGATAAATTGTGTTGTAGAATCTTGGCATGAATCAAGCCTCATCGTCGTCATCTGTGAGCTGAGCTGTTTCTGTTTAAGTGCTTGCTTTTTCCTCCTTTTTGAAAGCAAGAGTTCATGTCTTAAGGGTAACATTGGTAAGAGTTAACAGAAAAACTTCATCCTTGCTGTTATATATAAAATATATTAGGTTGGAACTTGAGTATCTATTAGAAGAAGTAATAAAATGTTAATTCTTCTTCAGCTGTGATGCTTTGCCAGAATCATTTTATTTTTACAGCACTTCTGGTGTGAACAGTAAAACTAGACCATCATAGGTTCATTCTGTGCTTTCTTAACATTTATACAAAGGAAGAGAAATAACGGATTCTAAAAAAATCTGCCTTCGGTCACAAATTGCGGATTCTTTTCGTTTGCTGGATTTGGTAACACACATACACCCTCTCTGTTCTTCCAGTATGAGTCTTCCCTTTAATTAGGGAGTAAGACTGCAATCCTAACCAGGTCTACTCAAAAGTAAATGGGTTAGGACTGTAGCCTTAATCTCAGGAGAGATATTGTTTTAATGTATACTCTTGAAGCAGAACCATTGCAAAGCTTTGTGTACACCTATGAAGCATAACTAATATAGTTGCTGTCATTCAGATTATGCTTCATGATGGTCAGGTGAGTTTTTATTTTTGTGTTGTAAGATCCTCTTCAAAGATAATATAATTCAATTGAATTTGTTTGGCAGCCAAGTTATGTTTCAATATATAAATCAAACCTTTTTTAAAATAAATAAATAAAACACCAAACCTTAGAAAGGGGTAATTCTTGAGCGATACAGGAAATGACCGTAGGGGTGACATTGCTGGTGACCTGTGTCATCCCTTAAGCAAGATAAACTTGTCTTTGTAACTCAGCAGCTTAGAACAAGTTGGAATAGGCTTGCTGGTACACAAAGAGCCCTTTGTGGTGTTCTCCTTTAAAGCACAAATACCACAAATAGTTGTAGATAGTAATTAGAAAACGGCTGCCCTTTTTTCTTTCTTTTTTTCCTTTGGCTACAGGTAGAAAGATCTTATCGGACTAAATTTCTCACCTGCCTAGGGCAGGCATAATTAGATGTAAGCAAATTTAATGGCGCTTGTATGCTCTGAGGCCATTCTGCAGTGCCTTAATAATTGTGTGCTTTATTAAAGTAGGTTTAAGGTATGGCGGCTGTTTAACGTATCAAGTGGCACAGAAGTTAAGGTATGGGTTACCACTTTACCTTTTAGATGAATAATCAAAGCTGCTTTTAAGCTAAATTGCAGTAAATGTATTTGGAATAACACCTTTAAAAGTCTGAGGGGTAATGCATTAGATGGCACATTGCGCAGATGTGAAAGGAATAAGCAAATATGTAACTTGAGCGTGACATTCATCAACACTGGCATGCTCATACAACCTCCCATAGCTCTGGTATCCATTAGTTTAATAGACACTAGTAGGAAGGTGTAAGACTGTAGACAACACATAATTATACAGGTAAATGCACATTAATTTTAGAACACTTTTCTCAATCCTCATTTACAAATTAATATTTGGCGGTTAGGCGTTTTACTTTTCAGGAGCTTAGTGTGCTTCCTCCAGGCTTTTCCTAGTCAGAAATCCAGTGGAACTTCTTTCTCCTCCTTCACAACAAGCAATCCAATTTCATATTAGCACTGCTGTGAATGGGCATTTTCTGCTCTTGGTTTGCGAGTGTTACTGCCAGTGAATGAGCTTATACTAGTGGGTCTTGGCTGCCTCCTGTACAAAAATAAATAAAATAAATGATTGTGATAGTATTTATTATTGTCACTGTTTTCAGGTGTCCACATGTATTGTGTAGCTAGCATAAAGGTAAAGGTAAAGGTACCCCTGCCCGTGCGGGCCAGTCTTGACAGACTCTAGGGTTGTGCGCCCATCTCACTTAAGAGGCCGGGGGCCAGCGCTGTCCGGAGACACTTCCGGGTCACGTGGCCAGCGTGACAAAGCTGCATCTGGCGAGCCAGCGCAGCACACGGAACGCCATTTACCTTCCCGCCAGTAAGTGGTCCCTATTTATCTACTTGCACCCGGGGGTGCTTTCGAACTGCTAAGTTGGCAGGCGCTGGGACCGAACGACGGGAGTGCACCCTGCCGCGGGGATTCGAACCGCCGACCTTTCGATCGGCAAGTCCTAGGCGCTGAGGCTTTTACCCACAGCGCCACCCGCGTCCCTCCGGTAGCTAGCATAGTGCCTACCATATTGGCAATGTTGACTAAGTCTGATGGGAGCTGGGAGTCCAGCAACCTCTGGGAGACACTACGTTAGCTTACCCCTGCCTTACAACACCCTATAAAGTAAGTCAATATTATTCACACCCATACTGCAGGTGGAGTGACAGAAGCTCATAGAGGGACAGAGGGTTTGTGACAGAGGCAAGATTCAAACCAACATGCAGCCCAGTCTCTTAGTCCCCAAACTATACCAGTGGCTCTCTACTGAATTCCAATATTTATTTGTTTCTTGAGATTTGGTCAGGGTGCTGAGAGATGGGGTAGCAACAAGGTGCAGCTAACCAAGCGGAGAACGTAGAATTTATAATTTAAGAGTTGTCTGAAGTGAGCAGTAGGCAACTTAAACCTGCCAGGAGCAAGACCTCAATGCCTTTCATATCTACTGTGTCAGGGAGATTGTGGGCATCAGAAGGCAGGACGGAGTCTCAAACCAATATGTGTTCTTCCAAGCCCATATTCCCAGGACGTTCGGACTTCTGTCTCAGCAATGTCTACGCTGGCTTGGTCTTGACCCCAGAATGGAAGATGGCAGGACCTCCAAGGACGTGCTTTATGGGGAGCTGGCTTCAGGCGCCGGGCCTGTTTGCAGACCAACTCTGTGTTACAAAGATGGCTGCAAATGTGAAATGAAGGCTGGCAACTTCAACCCTGCCCTGTGGAAATCCCTTGCAGACAACCGCAGTGTCTGGAGACAGGCAGTCAG